GTGTGTGTGTGTGTGTGTGTGTGTGTGTGTGTGTGTGTGTGTGTGTGTGTGTGTGTGTGTGCTCTGTGTGTTTTTAGCCATGACCCAGAAGGCCTCCTGGGAAGCTGCAGTGAAAGTGATGAATGCCAAAGAGGAGGGGAGAAGTGGAGGAGAGGAGGGAGGGAGGGAGGGAGGGAGGCTAAGTAGGAGACGAGTGCCTGTACTGCAGCAATGCAGGAGAGACGGAGAGGGAGGTCAATGAAAAATACAGTAAAATTGTGTGTTTTATTGTAGGATTGTGCAGTGAAAACAACGCAGAAGACAAAAGCAAGATGGTGCAGAATGCAAGGTTAGTGACTGTGGATAACAAGTTTGCACAACCAACATTTAAGTCTCTGTCTGTCCTGCAGATGACTCCCTCTTCATCACCATCATCAGCCCTACCTAGCCGAGGCAACAAGCCCTGACAAGGCAAACACTCCCTGCGTCTCCTCCCTCCCCCCCTGAACAAACAGCTCTCCCTCTGGAGGCGACCGGGGGGTTAGAGAGGCGGACTCCCGGGACCATCGACTCGCTCCCTCTCTCAGCTCTGTTTGTTTCAGCCTGTGGTGAACGAGGCCGCGCTACGACGACCCACACAGCTGATGTTTAGACTTCCCAGCAGAGAAAGTAATGTATACGTTTCCCCCCCTGTTCTCGTTCCCCGACCTCTCCCCCCCCCCCCCCCCCACCCAACGCCTCGCCTCGGCCTGCCGCAGTGAAATGTAAACACAGAGTGGGGGAAGCCTCTTCTCGTTTTTCACCCTTGTCCTTTACACACCAAACCTGCCTTCTCAGTTTCATAAAGCCCAGTGACACATGAATACAAGTGCACCAACACACACACACACACACACACACACACACACACACACACACACACACACAGGGAAAGAAGAGAAGACGAGCTAATGCACTGATATCCAGCAGCAGGAGGACTGCAAGCACTCAAGGAACAAATATCCTGTTCTCATCATAAAATTTTCATCCCGTCCCGAGCTTTGTTTGATGGGGCCAAGCGCAAAAAAACATCCACACTTAACCTTGAGCTGATCTTTTTAACATAATGCGGCTGCTTTATTGGATTCTATAGCTGGACTTCACTCTCAGGAATAACAAGTACAAAGAGTTACGGTCCGACAGGGCCGAGTCAAGACGAGAGACGAAGGACAAAAGTGGCAGCGCCAGGAAGTCCCCGCCTGCTGGATCTTATGTCTGCTCGTCGAGTTCTTTGGAAGGACACTGATGAGGCACCTTGTCCTGAGTTATTCATCCTCAAGTCATACCCAAAAAAAAAAGAACCAGATGTATTCACTCCCACTTGGAAATGAATACAGGGCCTGTCATGACTTGCATTGAGTAGCTGCTGGGACACTTTGCAAAAGCTGCTGAAATGATCATCTGACAGACTTTCAAACGTACATTTTTCAGGACATTTTGTGGACTTCATGTTACGATATGATATGATATGATATGATATGATATGATATGATATGGGGCCAGGAGATACATCCTTTTACTATCGCAGATCACCATTATTAGAAATGGTTGATGACGTAGAAGTTACACAAGTTTATCATGAAGTAACATGTCGCTCAACCTGTCCTCTCTCTCTCTCTCTCTCTCTCTCTCTCTCTCTCTCTCTCTCTCTCTCTCTCTCTCTCTCTCTCTCTCTCTCTCTCTCTCTCTCTCTCTCTCTCTCTCTCTCTCTCTCTCTCTCTCTCTCTCTCTCTCTCTCTCTCTCTCTCTCTCTCTCCTCCTGATCCTCCTCTCCGTCTTCTGCCTGCTCCACTTTTCAGAAAATGTGTGCTCAAACAGGCCGTTTGGAGATGTTCCCTTCATGACATCACAAAGGGCAGTAGCCCCTCCCCCAGGTGGGTGACACTCCCACAGCTAGGTGTTTGTTCTGCCCTCTGAGTCTGCCTTCTCACCGTAAACAATAGGACATGGAGCGAGAAAGACCGAGTACACCCAAAGCCCTTCCAGAGAGGGGGCGTGGTCAGACACAGCTCATTTACATATTTAAAGGTACAGACACAGAAACAGCCTGTTCTGAGCAGGGCTGAAATAGAGGGCTTTATAGACATGATCAAATACAGGATCAGAGTGGATTTAGAACAAGAAACTTCACACACATGTTTTGAGGAGCTCTGAGACTTATTTAAACTGAAGAAGAGGAGGAGGATATGTGACCTTTAAACTCCAACTTCTGTTGAACACAGAAAGAGAAAACCAAGGTCAGAAAACAATGTTGGAACGTGACCGACTTGAGCATTAAATCCAAATTGAGATCCTTAAAATTACATTTAATAGTTGAGTCTCAGTCTGTCATAGACAACCACAAAGCTCCGAGGAAAACAACAGAGACTAAAGTACTTTCAGCGATCTGATCAGTCGACACAACACTGCAGGAAGAAAAAAAAGAGCAGGCTGAGCAAACTCGCAATGAGATCCAAACAACAGATGGCAACAGTCAGTCAAATTTAGAACTGAGGAAGGGTTTAATTTGGCATTGATGTCACGCTCCCGAGTGCAGCAGAGACAATAACACAGACTCGTCCCAAACTTTGTCAGATAAGTAATTTCAATCTGAGAGCCCTGTGAGTACCAGACAGGGGAGAGAGAATTAAACATCTGCAAGTCAATTAAGTTAATTATGATAACTTATGTGACTCCAATTCGACTGGGCAGATGTACACAAAAAAAATTAAATCCCCCCCCCCCCAGGTGGCACTTATCATTATTTATAATAGTTTTGTTGCATAGACAGAACTATTAAAGCCTCGGGACATTTGGCTTGAAATACAAAAAAAATCTGAGTGGAAATAAACCTTCAAAACTTTTTAAAAGTTAACGACTTATTCTGCTGTTTAGACCGTTTCTTACGACTCAGAGGACGTGAGTTTGATTGACATCTCCTCGGCTCCTCCCATTCTGACGGCAGAATCAGAGAAGAAAGCAGAACGCCCGTCGATGGGAAATACACGTCGTTCAGTCGGTCACTGGATGGTGAGTCTCAAATGCTTTGCTATCCATATCATAGTTCGCAGTTAGTTGAATGTGATGCTTTGGGGCGGCAGCAGCTCAGTCTGTAGTGACTTGAGTTGGGAATCAGAGGGTCGCTGGTTCAAGTCCCAGCACGGACCAAGTCTGGTAGCTGGTCCACTTTCTGAGCACTGCCGAGATGCCCCTGAGCAAGGCACCAAACCCCAAAACTGCCCCCCCCCCCGAGCGCAAAACTGAATCTCCCCTCGCAGGATTAATAAAGGATAAATTATGACATTATAAAAAGGCTGTTTCTGCACATGCACTCCTCAAAATATCAGATGGGCTGCTCCTGAAATATTTTTTAGTTACTCATTCACACAGCGGGAAAGTATCCCTTCCAAAGAGGGTTAAGAAGCTGGTGTAGATTTGAGTTTCCGGTGGCTTTAAGGTCTTGTTTCTCACACATACACACACACACACACACACGTAAACAGCAGCAGTGCTGTGTGGTGAAATAAAGCGTTGGGACGTTTGTGTAAGTTTGCTGTCACATCAAAGAGACATGTCCTTTAGAAACAAAGCCGCTTCTCCTCTATTATATGTCAGAAATCTGTGAAGAATCCAAACACATACTCGTCAAAGGGTGGATTTTTCAGGCTGTGGAAACAGGCTTCACATGGCAGAACACACAGCTTCAGCTCAGTGAGACAGAAACACACACACACACAGGTGGAGAGGCTGCTTTGAACAGAAGGAGGCCACTGAATAACGTTTGAATAGACGTCTCTGTTCAGGGTTTATCAAAAGGCCGTCCACTGACCTCATCAACCTTCAAAAGGACTCTCTGCTAAATAAACCTCACATGCTAATCACTATTTAACTGCAGATAATAGAAACAACAGCAGATTATTCATAATCAAAAACAGGGACAAATGGTGAAGCATTACAGGGATTTAGATGAGTCGTCGATTTCAATCCAAAAGTACATCAATACCGAGGAGCAGAGAGAAACTAAAGGGAATAGATGTTTGTGTTTGCTTCTGTCGTTCAGTCAGCATTCAAAGGATCGTAATAGAATAAATGTATCAGGGCTAGAAAATGAAACTGATATTCTGATGTGTTGCAAGCTTCTTAAAAGGAAGAATGTGCGACTTTTTGATCCAGTAGATGTCGCCCTTGAGCTCCAGCATGAAACCAAAACAAACTGCACAGGAGTCAAGCACAGGAGAAGGACAAAATTGTCTTTGGCTCGAGCTGCAATCACCTGCGTCCTGCATTGTTGTGTTAGCATGCTAATGTTAGCGCTCTTTAGTTAGCTCGTAGCTTCACATTGTTGTGTTAGCATGCTAATGTTAGCGCTCTTTAGTTAGCTCGTAGCTTCACATTGTTGTGTTAGCATGCTAATGTTAGCGCTCTTTAGTTAGCTCGTAGCTTCACATTGCATGTAAACTGACACAGAATGAGCGTGATCTAAAAACTCTTACTAACATCCAAATAATCAGTGAGTATGTTCTTCTTCTTCTCTCTAGTTCTTGACTAAAACAGCTTTTATACACAAGGGGAGGAGCCGGCCGTCCCGTCCATGTAAACACGGCTCTGACAACAACACAGCCAGCGGGACTCGAGCTTCTCCCTCATTGTAGACAGTCAGGACTCAGAGACACATTTACACAGGACAGACTTTATGATTTATTTATGTGTTTAGTGTCTCACGTTCTTCCTTTAAGTCAGAATGTCGCAGGTTACACTGACTGCCAGTATCCAGATAGTCATTATTGATCCAGAACAACTTGAAATCTTGGCCTCGCCATGCCGTCAATACCCTGATTGACCTTTACAGAGGACTTTAAAATCTGCAATATGGTGATGAAGGCATCAGAAAAAGTGCTGGCGCTGCTGGTGCTCGCTGCTATCAATATATCAGCAAGAAGGAGCCATACACACACACACACACACACACACACACACACACACACACACATGCAGATACTAACCTGTGGAGACAGGGCGGTGGGAGGCTGGCTGAAGAGCGTGGAGTGGGCTGCTGACCGGAGGCCATGTGCTCTCCTCACAGTCTGACGGGAGAAAGAAGCAGACAGTACCTCCTGCTGAGGAAAAGGACACAAACAGAAGGAAACGTCAAGTTGTGGAGCGTCATCTTTGTGCCCAAAGTGAAAAAGTGTTTGGAGAATAAGCACAACACAAATAAGGAAACGGAGGAAAAAGCTCGTGCTATTGTCACAACAGCCTCCATCAGGACCGATACAGCGTACGGAGCGCGGGCTATGTTGCTACAAAGAGGCTTAAAATAATGAGGCGTGAAAGTGGTAGTTGTGATTTCTACTCCCGCCACAGGCCGCAGCAATTTTCCTATTTTTTGCTGCAAATTCACACACGAGTATGTAGCCGAGGCCTCGATGTATTTATAGGACGGTTCAAACACAGAAGAGCTTCACATGAACCACGAAATGAAGAAGGAAAGCATCAGACACTTCAAAACAAAGTTATGATAAAAACAGAACAAACTGATCCAACATGCTCAGGACTACATTTCACCTTTTGTACATTTTGTGTTTTTTTTTTTATTCTATTTTATATATTGTAATATGTTCTTATTCTGTATTATTTAAGTTGTTTCTAGTTCTGCTTTATTTCTTGTTAATTGTTTAGCACCAACACACAAGTCAAATTCATTGTATGTGTAAATGTAATTGGCAATAAACCCAGATTCAGATTCAGATTCTGATTCTGACTATTAGGTGCAGCCGTAATCTGGACGTTCTGCTCCACATGCAGCACACAGAGGGAGATCTTCAGACTGAGATGTGTTCTCATCTACTGGAAATACTCGCTTTGGTTTAGGGCCGAGGTTTGAAAGTGGGTAGAGCGTGCAGGATGAGGAGTCTCTGTTTTTTTGCTCAGATATGACTAAAACTTGTTGGACTTGTCTGCACAAAAATGAAAAACAGGAAACTCAGGAAAGCTGAAAAAAGTTTACAAAGCAGTGAAACTCTGCAATGTGAAAGGCGACATCATCATCGTCGTCTCTCGGCTGTTTACAGATCGGGAATAACCTGCTGCGTTCTCACATCAGCTCACCAGGACATTTACAGACGTCATACTGGGACAGTTGTTTCATCCTTTTTCTGTTTTCTCACTTCGATTTGAATTGTTTGCAGTAGCTCCTTCTCATAGTGAAATTCCTCAACAGGAACAACATGCTCTAAAGAACGTCACAGTGACAGAAATATCTGCTGAGTCCAACAGAATCAGCCTTCACATACTTGTTCTTAAAAGTCATCAAGAGGGACGGTAGTTAGTGTGACAGTGTTGTGACTCGTGCAGCTTTAGCAGATCACTGCGCTCTCCTGTCATCGCTGTATTGAGTTGAATAAAAAAGACAAATGTGTAAGATATATTGTAACCCGCTTATCACCTACAGCCAGAAGGACTGGAGGTTATCAACCAAGACAGTGGAAATGAATATGATAACAGGAAAGAGTGTAAAGCAGCAAAACTCGGCTCAGCATGTACGACATCATCACCTCGCCCACTAGTGAGTGAGTGTGAAATGTTCCTGAGTATTACCTGCTCGATTCACACATCAGCTCACACAACTTTACACGGACATTTGACTAGACAGCCAGCATACAAAAAAATCTGGAATAAAGTCTGGTTAAGAAGATTCAGTCCACCTGGACGATTTCAGGATATCAGATGGGTGTTTGAAAGGAGCCTTTTTTCCATTTGTTGCATTTTTAAAAAAATGCTCGCTGTGTTTAATTCTGACTAAACCTGCTGAACGCTTCCTCAAGATCCAAGCTTCATAGTCCTACTAGGTTCTTAATTTCAAGGAGATCAGAAATGTTAAATTATGAATGAACCAGTAACAGCGCTTCAAAATCGATTCTGTCAGAAAGTGGAATCCAGGGTAAAGGTTTAAGAAGATGTTTGATGTTTGGTGTTGGGGGGGTGGGAGGGCGGCACAGGAGACCATGACACAGTCCACCCTGCTGGACTCTACCATCCTGCATGCATAACTTCTGACATTGGAGTCGTGCATGCGAGACCATTCGAGCTGTCATGACAAACTTCCTGTTTACACTGGAGGGAGAGAGAGAGAGAGAGAGAGAGAGAGAGAGAGAGAGAGAGAGAGAGAGAGAGAGAGAGAGAGAGAGAGAGACGGCCTCTGCTTCTGCGACTGTCAATCACACATGAAAGAGCTGACCGGCCTGCAGCTGCTCGCAACTCAAACCAGGATTAGCAGCCCGTTATTTATTCACTATCTCTGATTTTAAGGCTGCTTACAAGTTCTCATGCTGAGGGGGAAAAAAGCAGGAAAATGTGGTTTGCTTTGATGTTTCTGGTTCAGGATGTGAGAATTTGCCGAGCTTGTTTGGGTAAAGAGAGATATTTTTCAGAGAGTGTGTGAGTGTGTGTGTCAGTGTGTGTGTGTGTGTGTGTGTGTGTGAGTGTGGGTGTGTGTAGGCAGGTGTACGGCAGAGGGTCACGCTAGACCGCGATGACTAAAATACTTTGACCTCTTAGGTTCACACACACACGCTCAGATGATCACTGAGGAAAGATAAGATGGAGATAAAGTGGAATAGTCCATTAAAAACACTGAGAGCACCTTGACTGAACAACTCGTGCAGCCCATTAAATACTCGTGTTGTGACCCGTGAGCGCGGCCTCTAGGGGAGCTGTGTGATCACACACTCTCTTTAACGGTCCGAGTCTCTCAGTATACTTTTTAAACACTCCACCAGGCTGCTCTCTGCGTTCTGCTTTCATTGCAGTAACAACCAGAAAAGGTCAGGCTGCACGCTGATTACATTTTAAAAACCGTCCACTTTGAGCGGAACATTCAACGCTGTCAAAAAAAGAAACCGTTAAGAGCTGATTTACTCTGACCGAGGGGACGGGGTTTTAAAATGTCTGCAACAATAAAATCATTTTTGCAGCTGTGTTAAAAACATTATGACGTTTATTTTTATTCATTTTCTGGCTTTTTTTTTTTTTTTACTTTATCAGCAGGAGAATGAGAAACGACATGAAAAGGGGCCAATTTGTTTTCCTTAAAAAAAAATGTGCCTTTTGGGGCGCCGGTGGACTAGTGGTTAGTGTGTGCACCCCATGTTCGGAGACTATGGTCCTCCAAGCGGGTGGCCCGGGTTTGAGTCCGACCTGTGGCTCCTTTCCTGCATGTCTCTCTCTCCTCGATTACTGACTCTATCCTCTGTTCTGTCTCTAAATAAATGCACAAAAAGCCCAAAAATAAACCTTTCAAAAAAGTGCCTCTTCTGCACATTTTCAACTTTAAGGGTAAGAATTTCCTTGAACTAACATTTACATACAGGTGAACTTTTACCTGATCAGTAAAATATTCATATTCTTAAGTATGAGTAACATTGAGATTAAAGGTATAATGTAAAATAACAGTTCTATATTTAGGTAAATTATCTTTCTTGCTGAAAGAGAGGATCAAATATCTGCACTCTACACATGATGCTGGACAGCACACAAACACAAGCAGCCAGCTAGCTTAGCTTAGCTTAGCTTAGCACAAACACAAGGATCGCAATAGTTCATCTATCTTTCTGCAACTAAAACAAATCAATATAAAATCTAAATAACCAACAGGTACTCTGTGCACAGCCGACCTACGTTCTCAGGTGGCGCTCGGTTGCAGGAACAAAGAATAAAAAAATGTATCAATAATCCGAGGCACACTGAAAATGTCGTTCTCTCTTCAGGTGTTCGTAATGGAACGTTCCCCGTTGGCAATATTTCTGAAAGAGGAATTGTTCAGTGTAACGTGTGTAAGAATATCAAATACAATTCAATAGAATATGAAAGTTTTGACTTGGAAAGCTCTGCTGGTTGCTAAAAATGCTGTTACTAATCTTTGTTTGTTTTGTTTTGTTGGCATGTTGTTGACGTTGTTTGTTGTGTGTTTTGTGTTAACTTAAGTAAGTAAAAAAGGTCAAATTAAATTTATAAATAAAAAAAAAAAGAAAATTTCTTTCTTGCGTTCCTGCAAGAGCAGTTCACAGATTTATATAAATTAAAGGTAGATAAAATGAAAGTATTAGGACAAATGGAGTGCATTCTGTGCTGTCGTCAGCGTTATTCAACCTTTGGATAAAATGCGCTTTACAAGGGTTAAAGTGCACATTGAATGTTATGCAGCATGATTCTTTACATATGTTAAGTGTTATTGCACCATAAGCACATGCTGCACAGTAAATACTGAGTATAAAAGAAAACCTTAAATTAAATGGGATTAAGTGTTAAATCATTTCTTGGCTGTGAGCAGTGACTTCCTGGACTCTCCACTGGTGACAGCACCAGACAGCACATTTCCTCCTTAATTCAGAGTCACATTTTATAGAAATCCATCGGAGTGCTATCAGTGCTCTTTTGGTTTATTGCTGCAATGAAGCAAATCCCTCACCGTGTTAAACCATCCCATCACATAAAGTGAGTTATTTTGATTATATTCTCTATAAAATATAAACTTCCCTTCCCATCAGACCATAGTCTGCAATGCTTTTTATTTCAGGAGGCTGCAGCTTCATTTTTCAACAGTTATTTTACTGATAGGCCAGGACAGAAGCTACATGTCTACACAAGGACTCGTACATCAAAATGCCTTATTCTCTGATATTTCTCCATACCAGGTGTATTAAAAAGTACAGATCTTCAGTCATACCTTTACCCAGAGCTGCAACAACAAGCAAGAGAGAGTAATCAGACAATTCAAATTCCCAGGTTGGCATTACTGACTGACCATTTTCAAGTCTGTTACGTTTGTGTCTCTTGCAAACAGACAGCGAGAGAGCCGAGGAGGTATTTGTGCAATTAAGACAACGTGGAGGAAATTGCTTGCAATTTATTTCTGATGAGAAGAGAAATTACCAAGGACCCAGGTCACTAGGACTTCGATTTTTGTTGCCAGACGAGCCCAAACAGGAATTAAAATCACTAGATTTTTCTATTATCCTACCAAAGTTTAAAAATCTGGTAATGGGACAACCCTAGGAGAAGTTCCCCACAAACAGGGGAGGGAGGGGTCTTTACAGAGACGATAAAGACACCATTT